GCCCCCCCCCCCCCCCCCCCCCCATTCCCCCCTCCCCACACCCTCTTAAAATAAGTTGACGACCGACCAATTCTATCCTATACACTATTGCCCCTTCGGATGTAGCCTATTAGGCTACTTGCCCTCCGAACAATCAAATCTGGCTACGGTCTTGGACAGCAGAAGCCAACATAGAGAGTTTAAAAGTCCATTCTAAGTCTACGATAACGTTTATTACAGATGTATTTACGAAAGAATTGCGATTTCCTTGGACCAACGTTCCAGCAAAAGCTACAAGCTATATGTGTATGGGATTCGATCTCCCTAGTGATGGTGACTATCATATGATCGCGACTAAACCTATTATCAATGAAACCAGAGTTATGCATCATATCGCTTTGATAGCCTGTACTTCTGAGGGTAAGTCGATTTGTTAATTTTGAAACCATAGTTTTTCGTCTTGCTTTTATCAGGGCCTTAATGAGTAATCAGACAACTCTAATTGATTCTTACAAGGGGAATAAGTCGTGTTAAGAAGGGACTATTTCAGACCACAATAGGACACTATTTTTAGTAAACCATAGAGTTCGATATGGAATCCGATTTGACTTCAAGGGAAATAAGTCGTGTTTAGATAGAACTATTTCAGACCACTATTTGGGACACTATTATAGCGGAGCTTAATTCTAAACCATAGTTATATGAAGAAACCTATTTGACTTCAAGGGAAATAAGTCGTGTTTAGATAGAACTATTTCAGACCACAATATTACGCTATTATAGTAGAGCTGATTTTACATCTGTCCTTTGTTTCAGCTGCTGAAATAACAGAACCAACCGAATGTTTGATGGGGCTGACTGGTTGTTCCACAACAATTGGGCTATGGACCCTGGGGCTGCCCGGAGAGTGTTTGTACAGAGAGTCGGGGATCAGAATTGGTACCAAGGGAATGAAAAGAGGTGTACTACAAGTAAGAAATGTTTTAATCCAATGGTATATTTTAAAAGTTAGGTGATGCCTGGTATTTCTTTAAACAGATAAAAATACAACAGTGGACAATTCTGTACAATATAAACTACTATTGGAGTTTTATGCCAACTCTCCGGATAATACATCAGATCCATGTCAAGCCTTATTGACAATAGCGATACGCGTTTTAGATACACATTCCTCATCAGAACACTTACTTTCGGAAGGGGCGGTAAGAAAAGAACTCAGTGAACATATCGATTACGGATCAACGTATTCCAGCTTCTGATTTTGGCAGTTATCTACACCAGCTTTCAACATAGCTATCAGAGGCAGGAATAGAGGCAGATGTTTAGGTCTATGATCTTTTGTAAAATCATTGTTTCATTTCAGTTCCATTGGACCAACCCTGAAGAGCGATCCGATCTGTGGGATGCATCCGGCATGACGCTCTATTTCACCAAGAAATTAAGGAAATACGACTCTGGAACATGGTCTACAGGACAGTTGTATTTAGAGATCCCTCCCCTGTCCCCTAGAGTTGTTCAACAGTCAACATGTTCTGGATATTGTACCAGGAAACAGATGAACCAGTCCATCTTTCTAACCTCTGGATTAAACCACATGCACTATCTCGGTAATTATTATTATTGTCTTTCGGATTCTCACCAGGTCACTTAGCATGAAGAGGTTAATTTACCAAACGGCACCGGAATGGAATTGTGCGTATGAAACCAGACAACGCCAGGCAATGTGTGAACTCTGTCTGCACCTAATGAGAGAAATTTTGCCAGGACAGCGCCATAAACCCATTCATTTTCAATTTCCAATTATCAAGATCAATCAAGGAACCAAACAGCAAGGGGTGTCATTTCCCTATTTCGCTTATACCTTGAATGATAGGAAGCTCCGAACTTTCATGTCCGCATATTGAAACCTAGACCTCCAGAACTCAGCTTGCGAGTCAAGAATCGACCCAGATCGACGGTCATGTTTTTTATCACAATGTGTTACAGGTGTGGCTGAATATGTGAAACTAAAGAGACAGGATGGTTCAGAACTCATGTTGACCGATGAAAAACACTACAGTTACGATACACCTATTTTAAATACGTAAGTTATCATTTATAAGCGTGGACTATTACTTTTAAGGCGTGGCCTATCATTCGGAGGCTTATAGCTTATAAGTTAGATTAGAGTTGCTGTGCCAAGTGAAATATTATCACAATTTAATTAGAAACACGAAGTGAAATATCACAATTCAATTAGAAATACCAAGTGAAATATCACAATTTAATTAGAAATACCAAGTGAAATATCACAATTCAATTAGAAATACCAGGTGAAATATCACAATTTAATTAGAAATACCAAGTGAAATATCACAATTTAATTAGAAATACCAGGTGAAATATCACAATTTAATTAGAAATACCAAGTGAAATATCACAATTTAATTAGAAATACCAAGTGAAATATCACAATTTAATTAGAAATACCAAGTGAAATATCACAATTTAATTAGAAATACCAAGTGAAATATCACAATTTAATTAGAAATACCAAGTGAAATATTATCACAATTTAATTAGAAATACCAAGTGAAATATCACAATTTAATTAGAAATACCAAGTGAAATATCACAATTTAATTAGAAATACCAAGTGAAATATCACAATTCAATTAGAAATACCAGGTGAAATATCACAATTTAATTAGAAATACGAAGTGAAATATCACAATTTAATTAGAAATACCAAGTGAAATATCACAATTTAATTAGAAATACCAAGTGAAATATCACAATTTAATTAGAAATACCAAGTGAAATATTATCACAATTTAATTAGAAATACCAAGTGAAATATCACAATTCAATTAGAAATACCAAGTGAAATATTATCACAATTTAATTAGAAATACCAAGTGAAATATCACAATTTAATTAGAAATACCAAGTGAAATATCACAATTTAATTAGAAATACCAAGTGAAATATCACAATTTAATTAGAAATACCAAGTGAAATATCACAATTCAATTAGAAACACGAAGTGAAATATCACAATTCAATTAGAAATACCAGGTGAAATATCACAAATTAATTAGAAATACCAAGTGAAATATCACAATTTAATTAGAAATACCAGGTGAAATATCACAATTTAATTAGAAATACCAAGTGAAATATCACAATTTAATTAGAAATACCAAGTGAAATATCACAATTTAATTAGAAATACCAAGTGAAATATCACAATTTAATTAGAAATACCAAGTAAAATATATTTAAATATGAGAAAATAAAGAAATATTTCGATTTATTCCAGTTATGACCCACCAATAGAAGTGAAACCTGGAGATGAGATCGAAACAGTCTGCACCTACCAGTCGCTATCAAGAAAGGTGACAGCAAGATACGGCGAGGGAACGTTTGATGAGATGTGCTTTGGAATTTTCAACTTCTTTCCCACATATGCCATGGCCCAGGCCTACCCTACATGTACCACCAATAAAAATTTCAACTACTGTGATATAGACGACTGGACATGTAACTACGGCACACTGTGGAATTTTACTCATCCAGAAACAAAAACCACTATTGATAAGGTACGCTTTGAGGCATGACAAAATGAGAGGTGAATAAGGAGTGAGTCTGTCTAAATTTCACCAAACTTTATAAGATGCTTCGCTTCTTGCTTTTATTTACCCATTCAGATTTCTCGTCAAACTCTTGAGTTATAGGACATATTAATGCAAGGGATCTATTTACAAAATCAAGTTTACAGAATACAAATACATTGTCACAGATCCTTTATGACATTGCAGTTATTTTTCTTTTGAAGTTTAATTATAAGTTCCTAAATTGATATTAATTATTATTATTTGTTGTCAAGTATGTCGATTTTCAAATCGATTCCAAATAAGGGAATCTACATTAAAAAACCAGCGTATTTGGATTGTGAGTGGTATAAAATAGGGACTAACGTAATGGGCGCCCCTTTACCTGCAAAATGGATAAAAGGAGAAGTTGTGCAAAAGTGAGCATTTTTGGAAGAATGGTGTGGAGAAGGAGTAGGGGAGATAATTGTTTTTGAGGTGATGAGGTGATCCTTAGATTTATTACAGAAATAACCGTTACATATCTATATAGATTTACTTCAGAATGCTTCATTTCCAGGTCAAAGTTTCTGGGAACGCCCTTGTTTATTTTGACTGACGTGTTTATTTTATAATTATATTTTAGGTAATGAAGCATTGTACGTATCAAGGCGATTGTTTACATGGTTGCCGTGCTGTAGTCAACGATTTGAAAGAGAACCATTCATGTTTCATGAACGGACTAGCTGAGCATACACTACGATTCCTCACCATGAAGAATGATAACGATACGGTGGCGGCGCTGCGATTTGTGGCCGCGATGCAGTCATGTGACTGTCGGAAAGAGAATCCGATTGTTTATATCGAGGAGGAGGTGACGGAGAACATAGAGAACCCGGATGTTACGGATTCAGCCAATCAACCTCTACTTTGTTTGATTTTCGTCTTCATTTCTGCCTTCGTTTCTGCATTCTTGTGATTTTGAAATTGATTTTTATTTTGATATTTTAGGTCCAAAATTTGAGGCACATGCGTTTGTCTATGTAATTCCACGCCTTATTATATTTTATACATATTTTTTGAAACATTTTACATTATCATATACAATGTATATTTTTTCTAACGAATTGTCGTAATTTAGAAATCCAATTTATATCTATATATCTATGTTTTATGTTTGAAATATTAAATTTATCTGTCATTTTGTATGTCTGTTTTTGGTATTTATTGTGACAACCTGTATCTTCTATAAGCCAATTCGTAACTATACGCTAATACAGCCTCGGGATAAACAACGTCGGTTTAACAGGTAGGCGGTTCAGCTAGTAAAGACAGGCTTTAGTCATAAGTAACAAGTATGTCGCTGGATCATTGGGAATTAAATAGGTTGGTGGTCTTTAAAAGATCAAGATATTCTTTAATGAGATAAAATACAATCATTCAATGACTTGAAAGTTCCATATCTTTCTATATTTTAATCACAATCATGTCCGTACGTTTCTCTCCACAAAACGATACTGAAATACTAACAAATTCAAACGTCCAAATTTTCTTTAAGGGAAATTCATTCAATAACTTCTTATCATACTGTCCATGGATTTCTCTGCATTAAATGATACATGGAACTTAATGGCTTCACATTTCATTAGTTTATGAGTGAAAACCTAAAATAACGTCTTGGCAATTTCGTCCGTGCATTTCACTCCTCAAAGAACTTAAGGGATTTTAAATTGATATATTTACTTCAGGTATAAATGCCCAAACAACGTATTGACAGTTTTGTCCGTGCATTTCTCTACACAAAGGACCTTGGGTTTTTTTAATTTCATATATTTTCTTCGGGTTTTAATGCCAAAATAACATCTTGACAATTTCGTCCGTGCATTTCTCTCCATATGACGTTAGTGAACCCATACTGTTGGAGAAGCATTTGGTATTCTAGAAAAGTTCTTTCTCTTCCCTCACAGATCACCATCATCATAGTATCCAACAATATAGCATCATAGGGTCCCGTTTTATCTTCGTTTAAACATTTTTCTAATAGCAAAATACAGCCACCTGGAAAAAATATTTAGAGACAAAGGTCGGTCTTGGGGTTGGGACATCTTCACAATGTCAAGCTATTACTAACTTCGTCTGATACCTTGACTCTAATAGCCACTATTCTTGTATCACGGAATGCCACAATTTGATTGGATTGTCCGCCAACGAATATTCATAATGAGAGCTTTTTACAGAAAGGGTGTAAACATTATGGTTTATTGCTTACAGACTTTCTGTAATGAGCTCCGATTGGCTGTATTAGGTAACGTACGATCTAACCAAATTGCTGCATTAACAACTTCTAAATTACAGGAAGAGTGATTATAAGAGTCACGTTATAAGACGAATAATAGCTTGGCATTGTGAAGATGAGAGGAGGGGACAAGGATGAAACAAAATGTGAACGAGTCGGTAATTTTTACAAGATCTCTTTACAATCCCTTTAACTTTTTACTTATCTGTCCCCTGTTTAATGGGCAAATCTAATGGGCAAAATTGCAAGGAAAGTGACTATTAGTGATCAGCCTACCTGGATTAATGCTAGCAAACACTTTCTTCAGTATAATATCAATTTTATCATCACACCAGTTATGGAGAATGTGACTTAATATCATCAAATCACAAACAGGTAATTTCTCGTCTTGAAAAAAATCTCCTAAAATTTGAAATGAAATGAATGGAGTTTTAGGTCTTACTTTTCTGTATCTGATTGGACTAATGAATAATAAGACGGACAGCGCCATGCAGAGAACGATCAGATACATTTTAAAAGAACAGCATTTTCGACCTATCGATGGTTTTCTGCAGCACACTTGACTTGAGTATTGACTTACCAGACATAAATTCCACTCTGGATTTGGTGTTCTGTGGTTGCTGTTGTACAGCCAACTCGATACTGTCCGGTAGATCAAACACAATGGCCTTCAGCTTCTCGTAAACTTTAATAAACTCATAGGCCATATATCCTGACCCACCTAAAAATAATTTAAAATACATGTATATAAATACTAACGATCCGAATCGCAAAACGAAACCCGAAATTCAAACGACATAGCAGCTAATAAACTTTTCACTTCAGGAAGTTTATGTATATCAATTGTAAGTGAGTAAGATATAGACAACCGACATCCAAATTCAGCACATGTACAAGGAAACAACAACCCCTTAACAAAATAGACGAAACCCTGGTTTAAAACAATGATTGCGTGCAGTGGCTAAACTAGATGAGTGTTGCGGTGGGTCGTGGACTTCAGTGGGTCTGGCCCCTCCCACTCCCCCTGTGTTTGTCAAACATATATTATGCTCTCCTGCATTTTTTGGTGGTGGGGATCCCCATAGGGGTGTGGCCCGTGGACTTGGTTCAACCACTCCTATGGTAGTTGAGCTGAATGAGAACAATTATGTCCAGTTTCTTTGAGTTTTGTCAGAACAGTCCAATCTTCAGGCAACAGAAAAAGAAAATTCATAATGCTATGGCAAACGTTTGTAGATAAACGAATCATTTTACAAACCTCCTAGATCTACAAGCGTTCTGTAGCCACTGAAATCATACGACTGCGTTACTGCTGGCGCAATAGGTACCAGTTTTGCGTTCATCATAGCTAAGAAATCAGCCGGAGAAGGTTTCCTGGTAGTAATGTCTCCCCTTGGATTATTTCCCGCACCACTGGTACCACTAGTGAAGCTTTCTCCGTCTTCTGTTTCATTTTCAATAAATTGTTGGTACCTTTCACCGTCAGAACCTGAAATTTGGCATACATACATCAATTATACATAATTAGTATATACAGGATGTAGCCCGATGGGTTGGGGAGAAGAGTTGAGGTGCAAGGGGAGTGGGGGGGGGGTTATACAGAAATCAGTTATACATGAGTATGTACAGGATAGGTAGGTTGTTTTGGGTCGTTTTTAAGATTTGATATACAGTGTATATCTGTGAAATGCATTGAACACAAAAATAAAAGGAATTGAATGTTTCGTTTCTAAAATTTGTGGAAGGGTGCCCGTGAAATGTTCAAAAATTAGTTCATTGCGTGAATTGCAGGTGCGTCCAAACCCTTGCAACATGCAATCCAACCAATAACCTTCAGGGCATGTTGCCAAGGCAGTCAAACGATACTCGAGTAAAACGGAATCCAAAACACATTGCAAATACATTGCAGCAGCTAATGAACTATTCATATGAGGAAGTATATCAATCATAAATGAATAAGTGATATCAGGTGTCTAGAAGAGTAAGCATACCCTCCGTCATTCCCGCTCAACATACACAATATCGATACTGAGCCACTGTTACTGCTGCAAGTGAGTAAAAGGGGTTGGATTTTGTGATCAACTACCAGTATAGAACAGCGAAGGCAGATAGATGGCGGGAACGCTCAGGAAAAACAGACGATGACACTTACCCCTTTTGAGAACACTTGGTAAAGAGTTGAACAGCGGAAACATGAATTCAAACTCGGCTGTAAGTCGAGGTACCATACTGGTTGGTTTGGTAGAAACCATGTATTTCTTGGAACTTTCCGTCAAACAATACACCCCACATTCTATAATATAACCATTGTTTAAAGTAGCACATTCAGCAATTTTGGAGGTCGATGTGGACCTTGAATAAGTTAATAAATAAACCAAGTACTAACGATCAAAACCGCAAAACGAAATCTAAAATCCAAAACAACATATTGGTATTAATAGCTAATGACCTTTTCACATGAGGAAGTGTATCAATTATAAATGAGTAAGTATTTCATAATGAACAGTAGTATCAGGTGTAAGTATACCCTGCCTGGTGCCTCATATAAAGAAGTATATCAATTACAAATGAGTAAGTATTTCATAATAAAAAGTGGTATCAGGTGTCTAAGAGTAAGCATATCCTGTCATATGTATGTAAATAGTCTTTATTCTATATGTCTATGTACGTGTGTATGAATTTAAGAGATTATATTGCTGTGATCAAGTATATGACCACAGTATGTACAGACACGAATGTTACTATATAGGTTATAAGATGTTATCTTCACAATGTCAAGATATTACGAACTTTGTCTTATACTTTGACTGCAACAGCTATATTACAGCTATACATAATCGAAATTTTTTCAATGCGACTGCTGCGAGTGGGCTTCCCAAATTATGGATAAACATTCCTAAGAAGGCTATTATTCCGACAGTGAGCTGTGAAAACTTTTACTGACAGCTTAATAGAACAACCCCCGTTTCTGAGACCAAGGATCGAACTTGCTTTTTTAACAACAGATATACCAAAAACTAATATTAGCTATGAGGACTCTATCGCAAGGTTTACATTAATTTAAGATCATAATTTCGTTGCAAGTGTACAATGAACATTGGAAAAATAATAACGAAACGAAATTAGACAAGTATCATCAGATCTTACCTTTGTTGAGAAGGTTAAAGCAGACGAGTGCATTGAGAAGCCTCTCTGTGATCTATGGATTATACCCCAAGTTACTGGCGATATTCTCTGCTGTTTCACTCTTCCCTAGGCTTTCAATCTCGTCAAATATTCCCAATTTTAAACATTGGTAGACTATCTGAAACATTCGAAGATGTTTGGCTTAGCCAACCCAGAGGATGTAAAGGGTAATAATAAAATATAGCGACATTGTAACTTATGCTATAAACAAGAATTTGATCCACTCACTCTACTATACGGTATACGTTGAAATAAATCACATAATGGTCATTATGACGTTTTACATTCCACCTTTTGGATTCTGATTGGACCAAGGAAGATTGAAGAGGTAGTGGGAAACACGAAAAGCTAAATTCTCATTTCCTGAAAGGAAAGCAATTTAAAGACATACCTGCAACTTTCGTCCTTCTGTAGCCAATGGGAAAATGTCGTCTGCTAGCGGGTCAGAACGTAACACTGGAACATCGTCTGCTGCCATTTGGATCACGTGATTACGAGAACTGAAGCCTGAGTCACTATTATGTTTAATGGCACAACACAACACAATTTAAATTTTCCCACCGCAGAGTATAATGAATTTACCACCCTTAAAAAATCTCTTTGCGCATGCGTTCACAATTATCTTCCCAAAAGCAGCAACAATGGAGAAGCAGACGAACTCATTGTTTAAAGCTAACACTTCGAAATATCAGTAACTAGCAGAATGTGTATTTGAAATTCCGATCGATTTGTCGCGCAAATGTCGATAAAATCACACTGTATATGCCTGGCTTTATGATCCCCTCTCTAACGTGAACTTCATAGCTTAACAATCCAAAGTGGCGACAAAATGAATCATCACCATTGGGTTTTCAGGTTTTAAAAATCCAGCGAATCGACCGTGTAACCTTTAGGCGTTTATTATATATCAATGTATACGTTTACTTATATATCTAAAATAGAGGCGGCACACAGCTTGAAGATAACATTGACTATAAGATAAATTTTCAACCGTTTTCATTCTACTGGTCAACGTCCTACAGTGTACTTTATGACACATTCGGCAATCCTCGGCAGTTTCCGTAAAGCTGAATCTGCCTCGCTAATGAATGGTAGATTTCGTTTTGTCTCCTTTGGCGAGACTCTTTACTTTCGGTACTATAGTAATATTGCGACCTTAAAATAGTCCCTTATAGTTTTTAGGCCTTTAGGTCTGTCCTTTAGTGACTGATGTTTGTACCACCAGAGCTTACATGATCACGTGACAATCTGGACACTGTACTGGTAAATAATGGCTACAATTCATTACCGTGCTATGTTGCATACAGTCGACCGTTTGCGTTCTATACTAGTGTAGTTTAGATAGCTACTCAACTTTTATAACTTCATTTGAACATTGACGATCGTTTGATTAATCATGAATATTTATGAGCAGTGTTGGTAATTCATCAGAATATTTTGACTTAGGAACACATTTAGTCTCGTGCAACAGTAACAACCTCAAGAATGCTGGCAGATTTGGATGCGATGGCGGTTGACCGTCATTGTTATAATTATTAACGCGTAAATAATAAGTATTGTAGGTGATCCGGGTGTCGGAATTCGAATTCAGAGTAATACGGATGGCTTGAATCGATTTCAATCTGCTGATGTATAAAGCAATAAACCCTCGCCCCGTTAGAGGTGTGGAAAAATACCATAAAACAGGGCCTAGTTTTCATGAGCCAACATTAAATCATTCTGCACCCTATATATATATATATAGCTTACCAACGGTTCCAAGCGGCTGACAACACCACTACTACAGTCAAGAGAGAATAATTGGACGACCTAGTCTGTTTTTGATGGTGGTATTTAGTAAGGAACAGGATTACCAATTCGACAGAAGATTGGCATCTATTCTAATTACAAGTCAACTATCTCAATATTAGTCCAAGATGATTCTGTGTTATTTCTTACTATTTATAGCATTGATCTCTTGAATCCAGGCCCGTAACCAGACTTGATTGTTCCCAGGCGGAAATAAAACATATCCGGGAGGGGCAATGGGGTTTGGTGTTTAGATGCAGTAGAGGAATCGGTTGTCAGAATTTTTTCAGGGGGATAGGGGCATTTCATTTTTTCCACTAAATCTCTGGATATAACGGGTGCTTCAATTGTATAAAAAACCAAATTGAAATTCATTGTTGCATTTTAACTTGAAGAATATGATTATTAGATCGCAATGAAATGAAATATAGTTTTAGATCCTCAGAGACAATTTCCAGAGAAATGAACATTATTTACATTGTATACAGTGTCGACGCCATCATTCCGAGACTGGGGGTACAAATAGGGGGCAGACTGACTCAATGGGGGACAACTGCTGAGGCTGAATTCAAATTTTGGCTACTCTGTGGTGGTGTCATAGTCGCAAGCCTCTAAAAGAGTGTCTTGGAAGTTCACTAAAGAAAATTTTTGAACAAATGAAATGATTTCGTGCATTCTGACACATATTTTGGAGAAAAAGGGTAGACATTTAGATAGGTTGAAAATAAAGTGGGGGTACAATTGGGAGTGCAAACCACCC